CCCGCCCTCTGCGGGCCGGCCTGGCAGCCGGCGCCTGCGTACTCGACTCGCCCCGCCTCTAAGCTCGAGACCCCGCCCCCACGACGGGCAGGCCACGCCCTCGACCCTCCAGTCTCGGCCCCTGGCGGCGGGGCCACACCTCTGAGCTGCGTGTCTGAGTGGCTCCGCCCCCATCCCCGCCCCGCCCTTTCCTTTTTTCATTCATCCTCCGCGGCGACTCCCTGTCAGGCGCGGCCGGGCTTGGGTGGGGCGCTTGGCCCGCACGGCCCGCCGGGCGCGGACGCCCGCCGGGGCCTTCCGTTCCCTCTGACCTCCCAGAACCCACCGCAGAGCCGGCGCCATCCCGGCGGGGCGTGGGGACGCGGGGCCGGGCGGGCGGAGGCTGTCCGCGAGGTCCGTGTCCCGCCCTGGTCACCTGGAGCCCGCGCTGCCCAGCGCGAGCAAGCTCCGGGACGGGGGCCTGGCCGAGGGGCTGTGGCGGAGTCACGAGGCCCAGAAAGGCCGTCACCGAGGCGGTCACCCAGCACCCAGGCCGTCACCGAGGCGGCCACCGAGGCCGTCACCGAGGCCGTCACCCAGGCCGTCACCCAGGCGGTCACCCAGCACCCAGGCCGTCACCGAGGCGGTCACCCAGCACCCAGGCCGTCACCGAGGCGGCCACCGAGGCCGTCACCCAGGCCGTCACCCAGGCCGTCACCCAGGCCATCACCCAGGCGGTCACCCAGGCCGTCACCCAGGCCGTCACCCAGGCGGTCACCCAGGCCATCACCCAGGCGGTCACCCAGGCCGTCACCCAGGCCGTCACCCAGGCGGTCATCCAGGCGGTCACCCAGGCTGTCACCCAGGCGGTCACCCAGCACCCAGGCCGTCACCCAGGCGGTCACCCAGGCGGTCACTCAGGCGGTCACCCAGGCCGTCACCCAGGCCGTCATCCAGGCGGTCACTCAGGCCGTCACCCAGGCGGTCACCCAGGCCGTCACCCAGGCCGTCACCCAGGCCGTCACTGAGGCGGCCACTGGCCCGGCCGCACGTTCTGCTCATTTTTTTTTTTTTTTTTTGCCAGTTCTGGGCCCTGTCCCTGAGCTTTTTTGCTCAAGGCTGGTGCTCTACCACGTGAGCCACAGCTCCACATCTGGCCTTTTGCTGATTAATTGGAAGTAAGAGTCTCACAGACTTTCCTGCCTCCACCGGCTGTGAACCACCACCCTCATCCCAGCCTTCTAAGTAGCTAGGATCACAGATGTGAGCAGCCTATGCCAGGGTAAGGCTGGACAATTCTAGAATGCCAGACCTGGGCAGGGAACAGTCTTCCCCCCTGGTCCCGCAGGTGTACCCCACAACATCGTCTCTCTGCTCAGGTGTCACAACAGGAACTTAAAACTGCTGTTTCTTAAAGTTGCTCACTCCTGGGCTGGGAAGGTGGCTCAGGGGTAGAGAGTGCTTGCCTCATATGCATGAGGCCCTTGGTTCGATTCCTCAGCCCCACATGAGCAGAAAAAAGCCAGAAGTGGCGCTGTGGCTCAAGTGGTAGGGCACTAGTCTTGAGCTGAAGAGCTGAGGGACAGCGCCCAGGCCCAGAGTTCAAGCCCCATGACTGGACCCAAAAAAAAAAAGTTACTCCTTTCCTGGGTTAGCGAATTAACTAAAAGCAGAATAGGTTGTCTGTGGTGCCTCATTTTATCTCTGCCTCCTTGGCTTTACCACTTGACCGACATTCCCAGTCCTTTTTACTTTAGTCTTTCAGAAAGGTTCTTGAACTTTTACCCAGCAAGCCTGGAACTGCTATCCTCCTATGTCCTCCCCCTGAGGAACACCAATGCCTGGCCCACAGACCCCTGATCAAAGCTCTATGGGCCAGAAGCTGCAGTCCAGTTCTTTTTTTTGGGGGGGGGGCGGGTCTGGTCGTGGGGCCTGAACTCTGGGCCTGGGCACTGTCCCTCAGCTCTTCAGCTCAAGGCTAGCGCTCTACCACTTGAGCCACAGCATCACTTCTGGCTTTTTTCTTTTTGCTTATGTGGTGCTGAGGAATCGAACCCAGGGCCTCATGCATGCAAGGCAAGCGCTCTACCACTGAGCCACCTTCCCAGCCCATGCAGTCCAGTTCTTGCCAGGCTGCCAGCCACTGTTCTGCACCCCCACCTCCCAACCTCCTTCCTGGAGCTGCCATTGTAGCCCTGCCAGGAGGCAGGCATCTCTTTCCTCTGCAAAGCTCTGTACCTAGCCGCTTTCTGCCAGGCCCAGCATGGGCTGGCTCTGAAACCTGGAGACAATGCTAAGTACTAAGCATCTATCCTCTTAAGTCTGCCACTCACCCACTTGCAATTCCAGACACTGCCACTAGGGGGTGAGTGTTAACCCTGCCTGTCCTTTAGGGACCTGTCCCACAGGTGGCCGTAAGGAGGGACAAGGCCAGACAGCCTGGGAGGATCCAGACCGGTCCACTCACCACGTGTGGAAGGATAGGATGAGGAGGGCAGGAGGAAGATGGCCAGCAGGTCCAACAGGATGGCCATGATGATCAGGGTGCCCTGGCTCTAGAGGCAATCAGGGAGCTGCCCCCTGCCCCCATCCAGCCTCAGCCTTAGGGCCAGCGCCCCTGTGTGGTGATGGTGGGAACTACTGGTCTGACTGAGAAGAGTGCAGTGCCAGAACCTCTCTGCCCCAGAGAATGCAGGTGACAATAGGAAATGTCACAGCCCCCACCCAGCAAGTTGCATCTGGACATGTGGTCATACCAGGTGCCGAGTAGGGCAGAACCCCAAGACCCACAAGGGCTCTACCTGAAACAGTCCAGCATACAGTTGGCACTACCTAAATGACATGCTGGATGACAAGGGCTTGCACATAGTGGCCGAGTAGACAACGGTGCATGTCATGGCCACCTGTCAGCCCCTGTGGGGAGCCCTGGATCATAGCCAGCTTAGACAGACAGACAGACAGACAGAACCACAGGTGAGAGAAGACAGGCCTTCCCTGCTGACCAGGAGCCACCTAGCCACAGCCTCCAGCCCTGACCCACACACCTGCTTCTCCCTGGGAAGTCCAGAAACAAAGCTGATGCTGCAGCTGGGGGCTCACACCTGTAATCCTAGCTACTCAGGAGGCCAAGGTCTGAGGATCCCAGTTCCGAGCCAGTGGGAGCAGAAAAGTCCTTGAGATTCTTTTCTCCAATTAACCAGCAAGAAACCGGAAGTGGATCTGTGACTCAAATGGTAGAGTGCCAGCCTTGAGCCCAAAACAAAGCTCAAGGACAGCACCAAGGCCCTAAGTTCAAGCCCCAGGACTGGCACACTCACACAAAAGCAGATGTGAGCGTTCTGTAGCAGTCCCTTGGGGTAAAGGGTTGGTGTTGGTTCTTTTGAAGTGTTTGGCAGAATTCTCTAGCAAAGCCATCTGGTCCTGGGCTTTGCTTTGTTGGGATTTTTTATTACAGATTCAATCTGTTCACGTTCTTTATTACTCTGTGATTCAGTCTTGGTAGGTTGTATGTTGGTAGAAATTGATTTATTTTCTCTTGATTCTTCCCAATTTGTTGGCATACATTTCTCTGCAGCCCAAGCTGCCACCTCTCACTGGGCCCAAGGACTGTGGCCAGGTGGGCGACCCCCTTTCCACTGTACCCTGGAGGCCAGCAGGCACGTGGCCTTGGCAGACTCCTCCATAAATGCAGAAACTCAGAACACAAAGAAACTTGAGGCCATTTCCTTGGAAAGGTTTTCATTTATTAGTTTGTTCAGAAGCAGTTAATTCTCTTTTCTTATTAAAAAAATGTGTATTCCATTCAGAGTTATACCAAAGTGATTAAAATGAGCTTTTCTACGGAGGATACAGCTCCCCCAGATTAGAAAAAACAAAACAAAACAAAACAACACAACTTTTTCTTCTTCAACTAACCACAACAATAAAACCCCAAGAGCACATCAACAATCAAACATTAATCCCCAAATATCCAGGACAAAAAATAAAATATTTATTGATCACAGCGAGACACCAGGGAGGTGGGAGGGCCGGGAGGGGACACGCCTTGTAGCACAGTGCCTGGAGAAGGACTGGGGATACAGTACTTGTGTGTGAAACCCCCCCTGTCCGCACTCCCCCCATGACCTGGGCCAGCATAGGGGTGCGGAGTGGGGTGGGGGCAGGGCACAGGCTGCGCTGACAGGAAGCCAGGTGGATGGCAGGTGTGCCCGGCCAATCAGCGGCACTGAGCCGTCCGTCAACTGGGGGGAAGAAAGGATGGACGGACAGATGGGTGGATGGATTCCCTTAGATCGAGGGTGGGGAGCCAGGTATTGGTAAGGAGAGAGGGGTCTAGTGGACCCCAAGGCACAGGGGGACGGTGTGACCGAATCCAGCGTTGAGGTTTTGGAACTGGGGTACCAACTGGACACAGCCAGGGGTAGCACCTGGTGGGCAGGCCCCATCATCTTCAGAGGGACCCCAGGCGGTGGGGGGGACCCCAGGGTGTCCCTACCCTTCTCCCTCCCCCAGGAAGGTAAAGCACCAGCCATGAAGCACCAGCAGGTAGCACCGATGGAGGCTGTGGGTGGGGCACTCCGGGCCCGCGGGGGCTCCTGCCGTCCCCTCCCGGGGTGGGGGCTGGGGTGTGGGGGGGTCACAGAGGGTTTACATTCTCCACCAAGCAGTAGCACCAACGTTGATGAGGTCGAGAAGTCGGGGTCCTGGGGGCTCACTTCCTCTTCCGGCCACAGGATTTCCCCAGGCAGGCCCCACCTAGATTGGGGAACCGAGGTCATGGTCAAGTTTGGCCCCTCTGGGATACTCCCTCCACTACCCCCATTCCCTCCAGGCTCTGTCTACTGCCATGGGAGGCGCTGGCTTGGGCCTGGGGGTAGGGGGAACCCGGGTCTGATTAGCAATATTGTTTTGGGGCTCAGCCTGGAAGGAGAGCCTGCGGTAGACATGGCTCCTTACTGCCACCTGGTGGCAAGAAGGGGACAAGACGGGTTGGAGAGCTGACCCTGACTGAGCAGGGTCGTGTGTGTGTGTGCGTGTGTGTGTGTGTGTGTGCCAGTCCTGAGGCTTGAACTCAGGCCCTGGGTGCTGTCTTAACTCTTTCACTCAAGGTTGGTGCTGTACCACTTGAGCCACAACTCCACGTCTGGCTTTTTGGTGGTTCATTGGAGATAAGAGTCTCACGGACTTTCCTGCCAGGGCTGGCTTTGAATCATGATCCTCAAGTCTCTGCCTCTCTAGGAGCTGGAATTATAGGTGTGAGCCACAGCACCCTGCTTAGGTTGTTGCATCTTTAAGCCAGGTGTGGTGGGCCTCTGTCTTCCTGGGATCTGGGGTTCTGCGTGTCTTGTGCATTCCCCTTCCTGTCCCTCTGAGATCTATCCATCTGCTCAGGCTCCTCCCTGCTGGTAGTGTGGACAGCAGCTCAGGGATTTGGGCTGGGATGTCTAGGCCTGGTCCAGGGCCAGCCTGGGGCAGCTCTGGGTATAGGAGGATGGAGTAGGAAGGAGGTCTCCAGGCTCCAAACCTCCTGACTGTCCAAGTGCACCCTGGAGTGGCTTGTCCCTGACTCTCTGGGCCTCCCTGCCCCTGCTTCTTCCTGGCCCTGAGTGTTCGCTCACCTTGGTAGCCCAGGGCTCCAAGGGCTCCTCCGTAGGGTTTCGGGGGTTTTCCTGTGAGGCAGGGGTGGGGTGGGGAGTGGGCAGGCTTGTCTCCTCCCTGCACCCGGCCTGCTCTGTCTCTGCAGGTTTCAAGCACCTCCCTGTCCACCAGCCACCCATCCTTGCTTCTCTATGCCTTCTCCCCCCACCCCCGCGCCACCCTCTACCCCCCATCCTTCCATCTAAACCAGCCTTCTCCTGGAGATCCAACCCCATGCTCCTCCCAGGCCGCCCCTGACCCCTTGGAGGGCTCTGGGCCTCCTCTGTCCCCTCCCCTCACAAAAGCACTTCCTGTCTCAGGGACCTGGCCCATGTCCTAGAAGACTCCAGGGCCAGGCTGAGCACAGGTCCCTGTCTAGTTCTGTGACTTGAGTCCCCACATACTGGGGCTGAAGGCTCAGCTTCTGCGGCTCCCCTGGGGGCTCCCTCACCACCCCGTACTAGAGGTTGTGGCCACCGCGACATGGTGCCCAGGATCCCAGGGTCCTGGGCCCCTGGGATGGGAAGGCTTTTAGGGGAAACTTACCACCGAATCCGATGCCCCCAGCACCACCACCTGCAGGACACAGATGGGGCTGTGAGTGGCCTCAAAACTGGGCACCCCAAGTTCCCCCTGAGGCACAGCCCAGTGGAACCCAGGCTTGGTTTCCGGGGTGACCTCAGGTTGCAGGGTTTGAGGCCTTGGGTTCACCCCCTGGGCAGAGTGGGGAGCAGAGCACCAGGTTACCTGGGTAGATGGGGGACAGTCCGAAGCCAGGTCTCGCTGCCACTCCTGAAGGAGAGATCTGGGTTGGTGGCAGGCCAGGACCTTTTCCTCACTGCCACCCAGGACTTCATGTCTGGGGCCATCTGCTTCCCGTGTCCCCCTCAGCTCAAGGCTGGTGCTGATCCACAGCTCCCCTTCCAGCTTTTTGCTGGCTCAATAAAGTCTCACAGACTTTCCTGCCCAGGCTGGCTTTGAACTGTGATCCTCAGATTTCAGCCTCTTGAGTAGTTGGTATTACAGGCATGAGCCACCAGGGGTGGGCCACAAAAGCTCGCCACAAAAGCTCTCCTGACTATACTTGTCCGGGTGGTGTGGTGGGCCCATGGCCATGATCTGAGCAGTTACTGTCCCCAACTCTGACATGTCCTGTCCTGAGGGCCCTGTCCACCCCTGCCCCAGCTTTGGCTCCTCAAGTGGACTTGGGGTCCAGGAGCCCTCTGATAGCCAGACAGGTGCCCACGCCTGGGCAGGGCTGGGTTTTCACCGGAGCGCCTACCTCCGCCTGGGAATGGCCTGCCAGCTCCAAGACCGGCTCCAAGGCCGGCAGCACCTGGCAACAGACAGACAGGGTCAGATGGAGATGGGGGTCCTGGGAGGGGGTGGGTGGGTGGGGGATTGAGGGATGAGCTTCCAGCCTCCTAGAGATTCAGGGGGCACTCACCGTATTTAGCTGCCTTAGCAGCGGCTGCTGGAGACACACCTGGAGAGGGGGGACAAGTGGGGGTTGGAGGGCGAGGGAGAGGAGAATCTGAGGATCTCTCTCTCTCTCTCTCATCCTGTGTAACTAGGGATTTGAACTCAGAGTCTCACACTTGCTAAGCAAGGCTCTCCACCACTTGAGCCCTGCCCCAGTCCCTTGTACTTTCGTTATTTTTCACATAGAGTCTTGGGATGTTTTTGGGTTTTTGCTAAGGGCTAGCCTAGACTGTGACCCTCTGGCCTCTGTTTCTCCTGCTCTCCTGAGTGCTGGGATTACAGGTGTGCACCACCATGCTTGTCTCTGTAAATGCTGCAGGATCCCAGAGGAGAAGGCAGGGCCCACAGGACCCTGGAGGCCACATGCGCAGGGGGTGGAGGGTTGCGTTGGGCAGGGCAGGGCAGGAGGGATAGCCTGAGGACAGGTGGCCCAAACTTCCAAGGATAAATGTCCCTAAAGGGACCACACGTGTCTTATACAAGCACACCTGGCTGTGCTGGGTGGGGTGGGGCAGAAGCTCCACCTGCACTGGTCTGTCTGTCTGTCCATCACACTCATGATCGCACAGCAGTTCTTACCTCCAAGGCCGCCAGCACCTGGGATGGCTCCAGCCCCAAGGCCCCCAGCTCCAAGGCCCCCAACTCCCAGACCCCCAGCTCCGAGCCCCCCGGCTCCCAGGCCTGCAGAGAGAAGCATGCGTTAGTCTGGTAACAGGGTGGGCCCCTGGCTGTCTCAGGAGCCCTAAGTAGAGATTGCGCTCCTGGCACAGACAGGCAGGGTGGGGATTGGGCCTCCGTCTCCCCCAAACCAAGCTGTGCTTACCATACTGGGCTGCTTTGGCGGCGGCTTTGGCAGCAGCAGCCTGGGCGGCGGGTCCAGCTCCTGGAGACACAGAGGGGCTCAGCAGGGTTGCCAGGGGCTCATTCCCCCAACCCAGTGCATCCGGGGTGTAACTCACCCACTACACCGCCTGGAACACCGGCTCCAGCCAGACCTCCGGCTCCAGCTGCACCTGTAGAGAGGCCAAGAATCAGCCCTCCCCTCCCCTCCCCTTCCTTTCCCTCCCTGCTTTCCCTTCCCCTCCCCTCCTACCCTCTTCCCAGCCTGGCAGGGGTTTGGATGGGATTTTGGATGGCTCCAATTCTAGGGAGCCCCGTGTTTCAGCCTGATGGCTATGCCTTGCAAAAAAATGGGGGCCGTGAAGTGGAGGTGGAGGCTGAGGACGGGGCTGGAGGCCGGAGGCCCACTGGGCAGGGAATGGTCAGCTCTGAGGAGCTATGGGGCCCCATGGTTACTCTGGTGCCGGCTGCAGGTGCCCAAGCAGCCGGTAAGGAACCCACAAGGAAGCCTTGGGGTGCTGGGGCCCTGTGGAAGATGGGCTCCTTCCAGGTGGAAGCTAGTTGGCCCTGAGTGGACAGACTGGGGCCAGTTGGTCCCTCCCTGACAGAGGCCCCTGGCCTGGCTCCCAGGAGCCCAGGAGTGGGGAGCTCCTGGGTCTGGCGAGCTGAGGCTGCCACAGCGCCAGGTGGCACAGCAGGCCAGGCTGCCACGTCCTCCTCCTCCGGCTGCCCCGTGGCAGACGCGTGCAATCTCAACGACGGGAGGGGAGGCAGGCACTGGGGACTTGATGAGGAATATTGACAGCTCAGCTCAGCCAATGGGCTGGGAGGAAGCAGAGGCCTCCATTTGTCTGGAGCCAATGGCAGTCTTGGCTCCTGTGGAAACTCTGGTCAGACAGGCCAAGGAACTGCCCCAGGCTGGGGGCTTGGGAATGCCACCGCGGGAGGCACAGAGGGGGCTAATGCATAAAGAGGTCCTAAAAATGGCTGTTTCTCCTTCCCTCCCTCCCTCCCTCTCTCTCTCCCTCTCCTTTCTTCCCTCTGTCTGTCTGTCTGTCTTTCCCTCTGTCTCTCTCTTACACAGTACTAGGGTTAGAAACCAGGTTCTCACATTTGCTAGGCAGGAACTTATCGCTTGAGCCATATCATCTCTAGAATTGTGTGTGTGTGTGTGTGTGAGAGAGAGAGAGAGAGAGAGAGAGAGAGAGAGAGAGAGTATTGAGGTTTGAACTCAGGGCCTTGCGCTCTTGCTTGGCTTTTTCCAACTCAAGGCTAGTGCTCTACCAGTTGAGCCACAGCTCTACTTCCAGTTTTTTTTTTTTGTCGGTCGTGGGGTGAACTCTGGGTCTGGGCAATATCCCTCCAGTCTTTAGCTCAAGGCAAGCGTTCTACCACTTGAGCCATAGTGCCACTTCCGGTTTTCTGGTGGCTAATTGGAGATGAGTCTCACAGACTTTCCTGCCCAAGCTGGCTTTGAATCGTGATCCTCAGATCTCAGCCTCCTGAGTAGCTAGGATTACAGGCGGGAGCTACCGGCGCTTGGCCTACTTCCAGCTTTTTGCTGGTCCATTGGAGATAAGAATCTCTCAGATTTGTCTGCCCAGACCGGATTTGAGCCACAGTTCTTAGCTCTCAGCCTGCTGAGTAGTTAAGATGACAGGCGTGAGCCACTGGCAGCACCCAGCATGAAATTTGATTTTTGAGATCTTGCTTTTACTAGACTGACATCAAAGTCATGGGCTTTCTGTCTCTACCATCTGAGAAGCTGGGTTTACGGGTATGGTTTTTAATCTGTTCTGCCCCTCTGTTCCCTGTGGTCAGGGCTGGTGGAGGACCCTCGTGGCAGAGGGTTGTACTCACCGTATTTCGCTGCTTTAGCTGCTGCCAGAGATCCAGGTGCTGGGGAAAAGGGAAGGAGGGGTCAGCTCTATGCTTGGGGTTCTGCTGCCTCTTCCAGGGAGCCCACCCTGACTTTCTCCATCTGCATTGCTGCCTCAAAGTATGGAACAGGGCTCCAGTATCTAACTATACCACCACCAATTTTCTCTGGGGGTGCCAGAGGCCTGAACTGTGTGCCCATCCATCCATCCATCCATCCATCAATCTATCCATCCTTCCCTCCATCCTTCCTTCCATTCTTGTTTCCATCCATCCATCTATCCATCCTTTCTTCTTCCCATCCTTCCATCCATCTATCCACCCACCCACCCATCCATCCTGTCCCCTCTGGGCCCAGCATGGCCTGCCTGAAGCTGGGGACAGTAGGGCTCAGTGACAACCCGATGAGTCCCTAGGGTCCCTTTGCCATGGAGCATGCTGAAGGAGATCTGGGCTGGCCTATCAAAGCCCCCCAAATCCAGGGACTGCCACTCGCGTTTGTGGGCTGGTAGGAAGGCTTTTCCCAGTCTGGAGCCTTGTCACCCTTGCTCTGCAATCTGGCAGCCTGTCCTTGTCTGGCCCTTCCCCCTCAGACTGTGTGGCCTGCTGCAGATGGGGACACTCAACAGGGATGTGCTAAGCATCTGTGGGTGGTGAGGGGTCCTGGGGCAGGCACTGGGAAGAGGGGGTTCTCCATCCTCTGAACTGGGCAGGGGGAGACTTCTTCCCAGCCCCTAGAACTTTCCTTACCTGCTCCTGCCCCAAACCCAGGAACACCAGCGCCAGCTCCCAATCCAGGCACCCCGGCACCAGCTCCCAATCCGGGTACTCCAGCGCCAAGTCCTGCGGCAGCGGCCCCTACAGAGGCAGACAGTGGGGTGTGACCATGGGTGGGTGGGGCACCTGCGCAGGGGCTAGCCTGTGAGCTGGCCCAGGCCCTCAGAGAAGTGGGCTGGCTTACCCCCCCCCTGCAGATGCCCCTGCACCCACACTCCAGGCTGTGTAAAAACCATCTTTTGTTTTGGTGGTACTGGGATTTGAACTCAGAGCCCGGTGCAATCCTTTAGCTTTTTCACAGTTGAACCATAGCTTCACTGTGTGTGTGTGTGTGTGTGTGTGTGTGTGTGTGTGTATGCGTACGCGTGCACAAGAATGTTCCTGTGCCAGTCCTGGGGCTTGAACTTAGGTCTGAATGTTGTCCGAGCTATTTTGCTCAAGGCTGATGCTCTACCATTTGAGCCACACTTCCACTTCTTTTTCAGCACTTAACTGGAGATAAGAGTCTCACAGACTCTCCTGCCCAGACTGGCTTCAAAACAAGATGCTCAGATGTCAGTTTCCTGAGTAGCTAGGATTACAAGTGTGTGCCACCAGAGCCTGGCTTATTGTTTTCGATAGGGTTCTGTATTCATGCCCAGGCTGGTATGGAGAGTGGTCTTTCTACCTCTGCCTTCTGAGTAGCAGGGATTATAGGCATCTGCCAACGCAGCCAGCATTAGAATGGTTCTCCTCAGACCTGCGATTGTCTCCCAAGACCACTCTAGGTGGACTTGGGGCTGCCTACGCGGCCCGCCACTCCCTTTCCTGCCTCACGTCCTGTTCTTTGGCCATGCCTGAGCCTGGTTAATTCTTCCAGCAACTTTGTTCATGGTGCGGGTGATGCCCTTGCTGCACTTGGCACAGTCCTATGGGGAGGCCTGGACATCACTCGGCCAATTGGAAGCCAAGCCTTGAACACACTGAATCTGTGCATCTGAGCCCTCTGCCAGTTGCTGTGGGGGACCTGAGGATTTTGGGGGGCAAGGGTCTGAGAGCCTGTGTTTCTGGGGGCCCAGCTTGGGGGCAGCAGTAGGTCAGCATGGTTCGGTGGCCAGGACTGAGATGTATTCGGCACTCACGGTACTGGGCTTTGGCAGCTAGCTGCGCAGCAGATTTCCCTCCGGCCAAGGCTCCTGCTCCTGGAAGGGAGGAAAGGGGGTCAGGAGTGGGATGGTGGCCATGGAGGCTCCAGGGGGCCCCTCCAGAGCCCCCCTCTCAGACTGCTCACCTGCAATACCCCCAGGACCCACACCAGCACCAGGAAGAACCCCAGAATCCACAGAGACACGTGGTCCCAAACCTACAAGAGCAGCAATAGCTGGGCCCCAGGTGTGGCGCCAGGCTCCCAGCCTAGCCCTGGCCTGCCGTGGTGCGATCCTGCACCAGGGTGTGTAAAGTCAGGAATTCCCGAGGGATGAGGGCCCCCTTTCCCCCCTCCCCGGAGACTTGAGCATGAGGGGGACAGAGGGAGGTAGCAAGGCAGGCCGATGTGGGTTTGGCTCTCAGCTCGGCCATGATTGAGCTGCCACTGTAGTAGCTGGGATTACAAGTGTGTGCCACCATGTCTGGCCGGGACAGGGAAGCTGATGTTAGCTGTTCCCTGGCTTTCATCAGTCCTAGAGATTCTCATCAGAATCTTGCTCCCTGTGGGACCAGAAGACCAAGATTCATAGGTGCTCCTCCATCTTCAGCGGGCCTCCAAATTGGGGCGTTCCATGCTCAAGAAGTGTCTCCCTGGGCCTGCGGGGCATCCCTCACACGGAGCAAGAAACAGAAGCATTGTTGGGGATCAAAACAGAGAAGCTGGGGCAGAAAGTCCTCAAGAAGACCAGGAAGCGGGGGGCCCAAGCCAGCCTGGGGGCCTAGGGGTTTCAGGATGGGGCTGGGGGCCGGGACTGAAGTGCCTTCCAGCTGCTTCTCTAATCAGAAACATGGTCTGGTCTCAGATGGGCTGAGAGCTCAGAGGAAGGGGCCACGTACCGAACTGGGCGGCTTTGGCAGCAGCTTTGGCAGCGGCAGCAGCAGCAGCAGGGGTCCCGACTCCTAGGTGGGGGAGGGGAAGGCCGAGGGTCCCCATCTTGCCCACTCCTCCCACAATCCTTTGCGAAGCAGCCTCTCTGGGCCCTGTGGGGGTCTGATTCCCCAGCCCCCCTCCTGCTGCTTGTGTGATGTCTCCCCTGGGAGCCCGAGAGTGACAGGCAGGTACATGGTGATGGTCTCTCAGGCTTAGGCCTAAGAGGTGTCCCTGGATGTCATGGTCACCTGACCTCTACCCCTTGGCCTCTGGTGAGGTCCTGAGGTGCCCCAGGAGGCCAGGCCACCACTGTGCAAGGCTGTGGGGGTGCGGCTGGCAGACACTGCTGGTCCCCAGGGATGACAGGATGGCTGGGGGTCAGTGCTGGCCAGGGTGACTGCTCTAGAGGGGACTGAACTCCCTTGGTCTATCCCTAGACTCAGTTTCCCCATCTGTGAAGCACTGCAGTCAGCCTCCAGGGCCATGTGGGGGGACAGATCAGTCCTATCTCCTGGCTGGGACCCCACTGCTTACCTGGTACCCCTCCTACGCCTGGCACTCCAGGGACCACGCCTGGTACTGCACCCGGCACTGTGCCCGGCACCGCGCCCGGCACCAGCCCTCCCAGTGCTCCAGCTCCCCCGGGACCTGGAGGAGAGACATGCATCGAGTGGCCACCCCTTGGGGGTATAATAATGGGAGGTACAGTGGGGCTGGCTGGCACCTTCAGTTTGCTATTTGGGGGTGGTAAATTACCCTGGAAAGCAGCAGAAGAATTGAGGTGGCTTAGGCCACAAAGGGGCTGGGCCGGATTGTCCGGGCACTTGGTGAGGTTTGCTCAGGGCGTGGGGATGGGCAGGGCATGGGACGGGTGGGGCGGTGGGGGGCACGTGGGGCTAGGGATGCACAAGGTGGGCACTCACCATACTTAGCAGCTTTGGCGGCGGCTGCTGCCTGAGCTGCAGCTGCAAGCAAGAGAGAAGGCAAGAGCCTATGGGATCCTGGCCCCAGTGGGTGTGGGAGTCCAGCTGTCCCACCCCCAGCAGCCCCAGGCACTTCCCTGGTCTCTCTCCAAACTTCCCTGGGCACCCTAAAGCCTGGTCTGAACTCCTCACATCCTGAGGGCTGAGGGCTGTCGCCTCTGCCTGTCATTCCAGGAGCCACAGGCAGGAGGATCCTGGCCTGAGGGCAACCCAGGGAGTCAGGGAAGCACAGACTGGCTGGGAGTATGGCTCAAGCAGTAGAGCATCTGTTCTGGCAAGTGCAAGTCCCTGAGTTCAAATCCCAGTACAACTCCTATCCCTCCACTGGTTTCCAAGGTCAGATTGAGGCTCACGAGAAATGCCAGCTCCAGGGACTCCTCCCACGCCAGGAACTCCTCCGACTCCGGGAACGCCGCCGACACCAGGGACCCCTCCTATGCCAGGTCCAACACCATAGCCAGGAAAGCCTCCAGTGCCAAGCCCATAAGAAGGAATGCCTCCAACTCCAGCTCGAGCTCCTACAGAAGCGTCAAAACCCAGAGGGCAAAACCAGTGAATGGAGAACCAGTTGAACCAGTGGAAGAACCCTGTGTGGTGAGTCTGTGGGGACCCTTCTCCACGGTTGGGTCTGGACCCCACAAAGAGGGCTCTGGTCCAGCAGAAGGGTCACACTGGGGTCGTGAAGTAACACTCCTGGGGTCCCACAAGGGCCCAGGACCTGGCCCTTACTGTGTGACGCTAGGAAAGCCATGCCACTTCTCTGAGAGAGTGGATTAGGTTCTCAGACCTGGATAAGCAGACTCCAGGCCTCAGAGGGGACAGCACTCACCATATTTGGCTGCTTTGGCGGCTGCTTTGGCAGCGGCAGCTGGTGACACAGCTCCTGGAAAGACCAGGGGACACACATAGCCAGGGGGCGGAGGAGAGGGGCCCAGCCCATGTCCATCTGTCCGCCTGCCTCTTGGTCCCTCTACTTTATATCTCTAGAGCCAATATAGAGCTTTTCAATCCATTCATCCATTGTCCCATCTGTCTGTTCATGTCTGTCTGTCCTTAGACCTCAGTCTGTCCATCCACCTATCAGCTCATGCACCTATGTGCCTATCTATCCATTCACCAATCCAGTCACCGGTTCACATTCTCCAGCCCTCACTGTCCATCTGCTCATTTCCCATCTAGCCACCATCCATCCTCCTACCGTACTGTGTGGTCTCTACCTGCCTGTCCATCTGTCTGTCCCTGTATCCATGCCATCTTGAATTTCCTCCTCCTGTCCTCACTCCTTCCTGCATCGATTTGCCTGCTCCCCACATGTCCACCCGCTCACCTGCCCATCCACCACCCGCCTCCACCAGCCATTCATTGAGCGCATACTCAGTTGGGAGCTCAGAGAGGAGAAAGACAAGATTGCTGGGGAAGGGGACCTGGGGGGTGTTAGAGACTCTCTGCCGGTCACCACATAGGTTTTTGTAGCATGAGGGAGGGAGGTACACACACACACACACACACACACACACACACACACACGAAGAGCCAGCTTACCTGGAACACCCGCAACACCTGGGACCCCAACACCAGGAATCCCAACGCCTGGGACCCTAACTCCTGGTCCGCCAGGCACCAAGCCTCCAGCAGCTCCTGTGGAAGGAAAAGGATTGTCCTTGTCCTGGGCTCTGGGGACCTTGAGGGGCCTCTGGGGGTGGTGTGTGTGTGTGTGTAATGGGGGAGGGATTCTGGGGTGACAGCAGGTAGACTAACAGCGCTCCTGAAGGAGCCCAGCTCATCTGAGTGGCACACGCATGTGTACACATGATAACATGTCCTGGTCCTGGGGCTCGCACTTAGGGCCTGAGTACTGTCTCTGAACTTTTTCACCCAAATCTGGCGCTTCACCACTTGACACTTGCAGCTTGGTGGTTCACCGGAGATAAGTCTCTTCAGGGCTGGGAAGGTAGCTCAGTGGTAGAGCGCTTGCTTTGCAAGCATGAGGCCCTGGGTTTGATTCCTCAGCACCACATAAGCAGAAAAAGCCGGAAGTGGTGCTGTGGCTCAAGTGGTAGAGCCCTAACCTTGAGCTGAAGAGCTGAGGAACAGCGCCCAGGCCCAGAGTTCAGGCCCCCGGAACGGAAAAAAAAAAGGCTCAACTTTCCTGCTAGGGCTGGCTTTGAACCCCATCTTTACATCTCAGCCTTCTGAGTAGGTGATCAGTTTCTGAAGGAAATCTCAAGTCTGGCAGCTGACCAGGAGCAGGGTCACAGGGGCGGGGCCAGGTCGGAGGGGGAGTGGCCAGGCCGCAGTGGAAGGGGGCGTGGCAAGGTCGCAGGGGGCGTGGTCAGCCGCGGAGGGCGGGGCCGGGGGGGAGAGGGTCTGTACTGGGGTCGCGGTCTCCCCGGGTCACTCACCGTACTTGGCCGCCTTGGCCGCCGCCTTGGCCGCCGCCGCCGCCGCGGGCGTCCCCGCCCCTGGAGAGACGAGCACAGAGCGTGAGGGGCTGCCTGCCCCGCCCGCGGCCCCCGGCGCTCCGCCCTCACCTGCCGCCCGCGCTACCTGCCAGGCCTCCCGCCGGGGAGGCCGCCCGCTCCAACGCCGGGGAAGCCCGGGAGGGCGCCCGCTCCGCCCGCGCCTGCTGGGAGAGGGCGGACAGGGTGAGCGCGCTTCCTCCCAGGGCCCCTGGAGGCCGGCAGGGGGATGGAAGAAGAAGGGGGAAGGACAGAGGGACGCCAGGGAGGAAAGAAGGAAGGATGGATGGGAGGGAGGTTGAAAGGAAGGGAGGGACAGAGGGAGGAAAGAAGGAAGGATGGATGGAAGGAAGGAGGAATGGATGGATGGAAGAATGGAAGGAAAAAAGGCAGGGAGGGAGGAAGGAAGAGAGGGAGGGAGGAAGGAAGGAAAAAAAGGAAGAGAGTGAGGAAGGAAGAGAGGAAGGAAGGATGGAAAGAAGGGAGGAAGGATGGGGTAGGTGGGAAGAGGGGTGTCCCAGATGCTGTGTTTCAGCTAGCCCTGGGGGGAGGAGGCCCTGGCCTGTCCACTTGAGTCTGCCTGGGTAGCCCCCACCCTAAAGTTCCTTGATGGTTCCCAAGTTTTAAATGCTCATTAAGGGAGCTGTGTTCTCAGACAGCTCCCCACCCCCTCCACTGCCACATACTGAGAAAGTACTGCGGCTGCTCTCTAGGCCAGCAGGGGGCCCCTAAGGAATGTTCCAGGCTTCCTTTCCCTGTGTTCCAAGGACTCTGCCAAGTTTGTAATCCAAGTGTCTGGTCTCCAAGCTCTGGCACCCCTGGCTGCCAGCTCTCCAGCTCGCACATGGCAGCCATCGTGAGAGACTCTGGGCATGGAGGGATGGTGAGGGACTGGGGGGTCCATAGGCTTTTCTAGGGGGTGCACAGGTCCCCCACTCTGCCCACCGCTTGGGTATAGGGTGAGGATATAGGGCACCATTGGGCTTGGGGAACAAGTTACATTTCTATAGTATATGGTAAATTGATGTGTGAATATATGTAAAAAAATTGTCTAGGTGTCACTTACAATTATCCCTCCCCTTTTTTTTTGTTGCTGTTGTGGGGCTTGAACTCTGCTGTCCCTAAGCTCTTCAGCTCAAGGCGAGCATTCTACCACTTGAGCCACAGCGACACTTCCAGTTTTCTGGTGGTTTATTGGAGATAAGAGTCTCATGGACTTTCCTGCCCGGCTGGCTTTGAACCACGATCCTCAGATCTCAGTCTCCTGAGTAGTTAGGATGACAGGTGTGAGCACTGGTCTGGCTTTTAACCACCTGGTGCCACCAGCATAGCTCCTTCCCTTTTAAAGCAGGTGACACACTCAGCTCTATTGGAAAGCCTGGACCCAATGTTCATTTCTCTGGGACTCTCCCTCATTGCCCTCAGGCAGAAATACTGTCTTTTATTGTCTAGCAGACTGACCTGTCCCTGTCTTTGAGGTGGATGGGCAGAGGAAAGGAGGGAGGGATGAGGTAAGGATGGAGAGAGGAGGGATTGGAGGAGGATGAAAAGGGGGGATGAGGGATGGATGGACAGATGGGGAAGAGACAGAGGGAGCAATGGAGGAGGGAGGAAGGATGGCAGAGGGATGGAAGGATGATGGATGGATGGAAGGAAAGATGATGGCTGGCTGGCTGGCTGGATGGAAGGAAGGATGATGAATGGATGATAGAAGGATGGATGATGGGATGGATGGGTGGATGGGGAGGGAAGGAAGAGTTGAGGGAAGGATGGGTGATGATAGCTGGGCAGGGAGGCAGCCTCAACAAGATGCGGGAGGGGGCGGCGGGGGCTGCTGGAGGCTGGCAGAGACCTTAGGTACTCACCATACTTGGCTGCTTTAGCTGCGGCAGCTGCCTGGGAACCAACCCCTGAGGAGGGGAGGGGGAAGGAGGTGAGCCCACCTGTTTCCAGCGCCAGGCCTGCCCACCCCTTGACAGCTGGGCACAGCTGGGGGCTTCTAGGCAGGCAGAGGCCTCAGAGCTGCCCCCACCTGCACTGGCGAGTGAGGTCCCAGCTCTGGGGTGACCAGCACCTGTTTGGCTGGAAGCGGGGGTACCCCTTCCTTACCTGTCCCCGTTGGGTAGCCAGCCTTGCCCCCTGCTCCACCAGCACCTGTGGATAGGAGAGGCTTGGGGGTCACCAGTGGCACTGGGCCTCCCTGCCCCACCCCACCCACAGGTCCCTGAGTGTTCCTGACCCTCCGGGTCGGAGGGTGGAAAAGCAGCCCAAGGCTGAGGCTCCCTTTCCAGGGCCCTGGAGCTGGAAGGAGCTGGGAGCCCAGGTCTGGGAGGCTCTCACTCACCGTACAGCTTCCCATTGGTGTAGGGCAGTCCGTATCCACCTGAGGAGAGAGGGCGACTCAGGGCTGCCCAGGCCCCGATGCCTGGCCAGGTGCAGAGACTCTGCCCTGGGGAGAGGGTGGAGGATGGCCCTGCCCCAGGGACTGATGGGACATTTGGCCCTCTGCAAATTCAGGCCTGCTTGTGCTCTGGGCCTAGGCTCTGATACTGTCTGTCACCTTGCAGGAAGCTGACTGCTCAGGTAGGGGTGGAAATGGGGGTGGTTGAGCTGGGAAGGGTCTTTCGTAAGCATGTCCATTCTCTTTCCTCCCTTTTCTTTTCTTTTGTCAGTTGTGGGGCTTGGACTCAGGGCCTGGGTGCTATTGGTGAGCTTTTTCACTCAAAGCTAGCGCTCTACCACTTTGAGCCACAGCACCACTTCCAGTTTTCTGGTGGTTCATTGGAGGTAAGAGTCTCATAATTTTTCTGCCCAGGCTGGCTTTGAACTGCGATCCTCAGATCTCAGCCTCCTGAGTAGTAGGATTACAGGTGTGAGCCACCAGTGCCTTCCTTCCTTTCCTTCCTTCCTTTTCTTTCTTTGAGGGGCAGTACTAGGGCTTGAATTTGGTCTCATGCTCACCGGGCTTGCTTGCTCAGCTGACACTCTACCACCTGAGCCAGGCTTCAGCCCAGCTTTTTGCCAGTTAATTGGAGATGGAGTCTCACAGATGTTTCTGCCTGAGCTGGCCTCCAGTTGTGATTATCTGGATCTCGGCCTCCTGAGTGGCGAGGCTGACAGGCGTGAGCTGTTGGTGTCTGGCTGGCAGTGTGTTTCTTAACCCCCAGTGAGCATGGCTTTCCCTCAGGGCTGCGGGCCTCTGTGTACGTGAGTGTGTGTGTGTGTGTGTGTGTATGCACAGATGTGTGCAGGCCTGTGTCTGACAGCTCAAGACTACCTCCTCAGGCTTTGGGGACCAGGTGGCATCTGGACCCAGGGTCCCCTCCCCCACACCACAGACAGACTCTCTGGGCCAGGCAGGCAGACTAAGCCAAGGCTCCTAAAGCCTCCCTCTGACTCACCTGGGAGCTTGGGTGCTTTGATGGGGTACCCCAGTGGGACACCAGGCTGCTGGCCCCCAAAAGGTCCAACTCCTATGTGGACAGAAAGAGCAAAAGTCAAGCCCCTGACTTGAGCCAGTAGTCCCCTCCCTCCAAACCCTTGACCTGAGGTTCCTTGTGGCACTGGGGTTTGAACTTGGGGCCTCATGCTTGTCAGACAAACATTCTACTACTTAAGCCATGCCTCCATGCTTTGTTTGTTTTTCAGTTAGGGTTTTAAGGTAACCTGGCCTGAGCTGGCCTCTCACCACAATCTTTCTCTGTCTCTGCCCTCTGACTAGCTGGGATTGCAGCGTGTGTCACCCTGCTCTCTGGATCTCTGATGCGCCACTTGTGAGCAGATGTAACAGCTCCCTTTTGTTTCCTGGAACCATCCTAAAGGTGCCCCCTGCCTCTCTGTCCTGGGTCAACAGCACATCTCCCAGGGCCCCTTCCCCTAGCTAACTGCTCAGCTTGCAGTCAGTCCCCAGAACCCTTCACCCAACTGCTGGACTTTTGGGCTCCTTTGCACTCTGTATGAATAGGGGTTGGGCCAATGTCACTTTGTGAAAAGGCCAGGCCTGGGTGGGATTTGGGGTGCCTGACCCCCTCCCAGGGTTGACCTTTGACCTGGACATGGGCATGCCCTCCCCAGCCCACAAGAGGAGAACCAGCCTTGCCTTACCTGGGATTCCAGCAAAAGCGCCACCTCCACCTGCAATGACAAAGAGTAGTCAACTGTCTCTGTGGCAGGGTGCATGGACAGGCAGCCCATGTCCCCTTGTATTCCCTGGGCCCGGGCAAGAGAACGCCCTGCCAGAGGGCTCTTCACAAGCTGGGCATCCACGTACGCTACCCTCAGCACAGCCCTGAGGACGGTCCACCTCCCCCCCCCCCGTTGCGTGCTTACCTGGGGTCTTGGCCTTGACTCCTGTACCAGTAGGAACCCCAGGGAGCACCCCTACACCAGGGAACCGAGTTCCTGAGGGACAAAGGGATACCTGTCTGCTTGGCAATGATCCTTGGTACCTGTCCTGTCTCAGGTCCCCTCACTCATGCTCATCAGCCCCAGTGCGGCCCGGGGGCGGGGAGAGAAAGGATTTGTGACCCCCAAATCAGGAAAATCCTATTTTCTGTTTTAATTATGCTATGGATAGAATAAGGGCTATAAGCACATAGTGCAGAGGCTTTGCCACTGTGCTGTGTCCTTAGCCCAAGTTCTGCTTATTTTTGCCAGTACTGGGACTTGAACTCAGGGCCTTAAGCTCAAGGCTGGCGCTCTCTTGCACCAGCGAGCCACAGCGCCACATCTGATTTTCTGGTGGTTCATTGGAGATAAGAGTCTCAAGAACTTTGCTGGCCCAGGCTGGCTTTGAACCTTGATCCTCAGATCTCAGCCTCCTGAGTAGCTAGGATTACAGATGTGAGCCACAGGCAACTGGCTTTCCCGATTCTACATTTTAATCTTATTTGCCTGCGGGTGAGCTCATGCGTCAGTAGGCCTCATTCCTAAACTGGGGTTGATGCTAAGTCCACCTACAGCCAGTATGGCGAGGTGCGGTGGGCCTCAGAACAGGGAGAAGGAGAGGCGGCCACTCTGCCAGCAAATCTCCCAGAGAGGCCCAAGTCTGGGGGATTTCAGGTTGGGTGGGGTGGCAGACCCTGGCAGGGAAGGGAGTAAGAGAGCTGTTAGGGTCCCCTGTGGGGCAGGCTGGCTGGGTGGGGCCCCTGGTGACTCATGGCTTTTGGGAAACAGCTGCCCACTCTGGGGGACTGGGCTTGTGTGTTGGGGGGGGGGAGGCCTGATTTAGGCCATGATGAGGGGAGGGTGCAGGCCTGGGGTCAGGACTTGGGTGGGGCTGGGGAGCCTCCCTCCACTGACAGGGACCGAGAGTCATTAGTTAGAGCTCAGAATGGCTGTGGGCCAGGACCACGGTCTCTGGTGGCTCTTGCATGGGGCTGAGGAGGAAGCCAGGGAGGCTGGCCTTCTTCCTACAAGTCCCCCCCCTCCCCGCCTTTCCCTTCTGGTCCTCACCTGTGCCTGGCAGCACTCCACCTGGGTACACACCTGGGAGGCCCACACCTGTAATAAAAGGAGGAGGGGCGTGCGCTCAGCCCCGCCCCCAGTCCACCTAGCCCCTCCATCCACCTGGCCTCAGGGGCCAGCATGCCCACGGGGCTGCAGGGGATACATAGACCGGGGTGGCCTTGGCCTTGCTCCCAGGAGGAAGTCATCTGCCAACTGTTTTCTGTGCTGGTTTATCTCGTCTCCTGGAGCCTATTTCCCGGCCAGCCCACCTCTCCCTGGCTAACAGCTTCCAGATGTTTTCCCCTGCTGTGGACTCAGGCAGCCTTTGTCTAACCTGAAGTCACTTCCTACAGAGCCGGAGCAGCTCAATGAGCTCCAGATGGGGTGTCAGGCTCACCCCAGCTCTGCCAGGACCAACTCCTCAGTCCTCAGGCTCTTACTCTCTTCATGCTGAGTCACCATGCCATAAAGCTGGTCTCTGAGGTCTCTGATCTTAGCAGGGCCTGGAAGGCAGGCAGCCTCATCCTCATACTGGAGATAGTCAGCCCTGCTCCATGTCAGGCCCTGCCTTGACAGCCAGGCCCTGCCCACAACAGCTAGGCCCCTCCCCTGATGGTCAGACCTGCCCTATGGCAGTCAGGCCATGCCCCATGTGATCAGGCCCCACCCCCTAAGAGGCCATGCCCCGCCCCTCTAAGACAGTCAGGTCCAGCCCTTCCTCCCCTGGCCATGGAGGAGATGCTCTGGTCCTCCTTGACCTCTGCCCTCCAGCCCCCCAAGTATCCGCACTGACCCGGTACTTTCCCCGGCTTTCCTCCAGCTCCGATTCCCACTCCAGCCTGTGGCACCGCCACACCTGTGTGGAAAGGGGTGCATTAGACTTGGTTGGGGGTGTCCTGGGGGCTTCACCAAAGGAACCCTGCTCTAGCCATCTTACCTGTAGACACCCCTAAGCCACCAACTCCACCAAGGCCACCAACACCGCCAACACCACCGATGCCGCCGACGCCACCGAGGCCACCAACTCCACCAACACCTCCAAGCCCGGCACCTGCAGGGCCCAAGAGCCAGAGGTGACATTTGGGGGCCCACACTGCCCTGGGGGCCCCGCCACCACCCTGCCACCAGTCCATTTGGAGCCAGGCACAGTAGCTGCCTCCTTCAGCCCTGCTGGGCTGGAAATGCAGACCTGTCCACCCCTTCCCAGACCTGGAGGAGGATGGGGCCCAGGCCATGCCACTCACCCGCCTTGGCAGCCGCTTTATAAGCTGCTGCAGCTCCGGCTGCCCCACCGGGCACCAGCGCCCCAGGGTAGGCACCTCCAGGAAAAGCCCCCAGGCCTGGGGAGAGGGGGGAAGGGGTGGGGTCACATACTGCCCTGTCTGCTGCATCCCACCCCACCCCACCCAGGAAGCACAGGGGAAACTCCCACAACCCGGTTCTGTCTTGGAGCCAGCTGCTGGGCAGCTGTGTGGAGCCTGACCCAGCGCCCCCCAAGATGTCTCTGTATGCCACTGGCTGGGACCTTCTACTTAGCCCTCATCTGCAGGTCTTCACCATGCCCAAAGCCCTCTGGGGACCCCTTGGGAGCTACTTAGACAGGTGCTACCAAGCCACCGGGTGCCCAGGCTGGCATCTGTCATGCTCTGCCCTGACTGCCCTTGATGCCAGGCGCCGGCACTGGGCTGGGGGGTGGGCGGGTGGGCATCCCGCCAGGGGTCTTCACTCACCTGCCCCAGGGCCTCCGCCAGCAAGCCCTCCAGGACCTGTGGGAAGAGGTGAGGATGGGTAGGGGGCTCCCACCCGAGCCCACACAGGGAAGGGGTTCACAGGGTCTCCCTGGCTTCCTTGCAGGGAGCCTCTTCTGTCCCCCTATGTCTGTCTGGGCCTCGTGTCCAGATGAGACCGAAAAGCTAAATGGACCCACATCCGGGCACCCTGGCTCCCCCAGCCCCACAGGTGACATTCCACTGGTGGAGAGTCAGGCCAGTGGGCGTCCTGGACATGATGGGCTGTTTTCTAGTTCTGGGGGACTGTGTTCTGGAGGAGACAGCTCCGGCTGCAGGGTGCAGAGTCCCAGGGCTGGGGACCCTCAGCACTGGGCTGCTGACCGCTGGGGCCAGCTGCACCTCCTGCCCACGCGTCTCCCCGGGGGGCCTGCATCTCTCAGGGATGGGTGAGGCTGGGGAACTTCCCAGGGGCCCCCCTACCCCTCAGGGCTCTGTCAGCTGCTGCCCTCACAGTCAGCCTCAGACAGTGAGCGCACTCGGCCCTCCCTTCCACACCAGAGCTTCAAGGGGAAGATGCGATCAGTGGGAAGGCCAGGAGGGGTAGCTGGGCAAGGGAGGGGCCTCCATCTTTCCCCCAGATGTCCCTGATCCCAGGGTGGCTTGCCAGCACCCACTTTCCTCTAGGCTTACCTGCCCCAAATGCCCCAACTCCAGCACCTGGAAAGAAAGAAGACAGGATGAGCTGACCACACGCAGCCCCACCAGTTCACCTCCATTTCTTTTGAACACAGGCCAGGAGTGGTGGCTTATGCCTATAATCCTAGCTACTCAGGAGGCAAGAAAGAGGAAGATTTTAGTTTGAGGCCAGTCTGGGGGTGGAGGGTTAGCAAGACCTCACTTCAATCAATAAGCCAGTTGTAGTGATGTATGCTTGGAGGAGTCACAGAGAGGAGGATTGCAGTCTGAGGCCAACCCTGGACAAAAACCTGACGAATAGCTAACACATAAAGAAGGACTGAGGCCAAGGCTCAAGTGATCCAACACCTACTTAGTCTGAGTGTACCAGCAAATGGCCTCCCTGCCCTGTGCCTCAGTTTCCCCATCTCCACGTGGCTTGTGTGTTTCCTACCATCCTAAAGTCAGTTTGTGAGCAGAAAGCCCCCAGGATGTGTGGCCCATTGGAGACCTGGGGGTGCCCTGACCCCTTCCTGTTTTGGCTTGCTGTCCTTTGGTTGGGTGGCTGGCCTCCCGCTAGCTCCAAGCTGCCGGGTCCCCTGCTGCGAGCCGAGGAAGGAGGGCGCCCACGTGGACAAGCCACTGCCAGGCCACCCACCCTCCACTGCCAAGGGATTAGTTGTTCCCGAGCGTGACACCATGCTCTCCCTGGGTGCCCCATCGTGTCTTGTCTGAGCACGCCCAGGGCCTAGCCCCTCAGCCAGATGTGTGTGTGTGTGGTGGGGAGAACATTCTTGGGGGATGTGGGGGAAGGCTTTGAAGCCCTGAGTTCTGAGGCATGAATGTAACCAGGCTTTCGGGTTCTGCCTTCCTTCCAGCCTGTTCCTTTGCCTGAGTTAGTTCTTTTGGAAATCTAACCTGAGTCTTTCATCAGGCAAAGCCTTAGTGAGGTCCGGCTCCTGGCGGGGCGCTGTGGCGGTGTTCTGGGTAGAGCCTATCTGTACTCTCTCTGGTTGTGTGATCTCAAAGAAGCCCCTCTCTCTATTCCTGAGTCTTCCTGGCTAAAGAAAGCCCCCTTTCCACATCACCTGGCTGCTATCGCCCTTCAGGCGTGATGGCTCACGCCCGCCACCCTAGCTACCCAAGAAGCAGAGATCTGAGGCTCAAGGTTCAAAGCCAGCCAGGGCAGGAACGTCCATGAGAGGAAGAGGGAGATGGAGAGGGCAAAAAGCCAGAAGTGGAGCTGTGGCTCAAATGGTAGAGTACCAGTCTTGAGCACAAATGCTCAGGGACAATACCTAAGGCCTGAATTCAAGTCCCAGAATTGGGAACATCCCCCCCCCCCAAAAAAAAAATTCCTTCTGAGAGTAGCACCCTCTAGAAGATTTGCTGCAGGTCCTAGCAGGGGGGAAGCAGCAAACCCCAGAGTTTCTGGGTCTTACCAATTCCAAGACCCTAACCTTGTCATCCCCACAGACCCCAGGACCCTCCCTGCCCTGATGCCCTCCTGCTGTGTCCTCTTGCTCTGGCCCAGCCCAGGAGTTTCACAATCCAGAGTCCGGGTCTCAGATTCATGTGCAGTTGAATCAGGGGCCGTGGAAATTTCATAAGAGCCATTGGACAGGGGCACTGTCCCCAGCTGGGGCTTTGGAGCCAGAACAGCGGGGCATGGGGACAGGGTGGGGATGCCCGGGCCTCAGCCAGGGCCCCCTGGGGGGGAAACGCCCTCCCTGGAGCCCAGTGCCCCCCCCCCACATCCATGGCAGGTCCTGCCCAGGGAGGAGCAGGCAGGGGGTTGTGGTGGCCCCTTCAGAGCTCAGCCTGGGGTTAGGGTGCAGGCATAGTCTGGGGGGGGTCTGAATCCCCAGGTGCTATTTTACAGGCTTGGGGTCCACAGGGACCCCAGGCTCTACCCCTGCCCACTACTGGGCTGTTCCTGAGGCCCTAGGCAGAGGTCATCTCTGGAGAAACTGACAGAGGGGTGCACTGAGCCGCCCCAACTGTTAGCCTACATCTCTGGGAGCCGGGTTTGGTCTTCCGGTAGTGGGGTGTCATTGTCCATCCCTCCTTCCTTCCCTCTTTCCCACCTGTTTGCTCCCCTGCCAGGTTCAAGCTCAGGGGACCTTTCCCCTGCTTCTCAGCCTTTTCTCAGAGGCCTGTGAGCCCTGAGCTCTCACGTGGTAGGCCCTTCTGTGGCCTGGCCTTCCGTGGCAGGGTCTTACCTGGCTTGGGTGGTTTGCCTCCAGGACCCAGCACTGCAGAGGGAAAAGACAGAGGTTAAGGCCTCCCCTCTTAGGGCTGATCCCCCTCCCCCTCTTGAGGCAGAGTGTGGGCCCTGTGGTTCCCCACCCTGTCTCAGCCCCAGGAGCCCCGCTCTGCCGCACTTGTGTGGCTTCTTCACTTTGAGTGCTTCTTCCTCAGCGTTTTGGGGAAGAAGGTCAGGAGACAGTCCGGGGCGGTGTGCTCCGTGGATAAAATGAGGGCCTGGGGCCTTTTGGGGGTTGTCAGGGCTGAGGATGGGCTGGGGGGGGGTGGGGTCAGGATGACACCCAGATCCCTGCAGGGAGAAGCCAAGATTGATTTCTGAACTTACCTCCTCCTCCTCCCAGGCCTCCAAGACCAGCCCCTGAGAGAGAGAGAGAGAGAGGTGTGTGGGGGGGGAGTGTGTGAATGGCTTTTCCATACCCTTCCAGCCAGGCCAGCCCACCACTCAGTCATATCTGTCACTAGCTAGCTGCATACCCCGGGTAAGTCAACCTGTACCAGCCTCAGTTTCCCTGTCTATCCACTGGGGCAGTGACCCCAGGTTGGTGAGCACTGGTGTCTCTCCTATTCCTCATCAGTTCAGAACATTCAATTCCAACACCCCAATCCTTTTTTGCTGCCCTCAAATTTGTGGTTCTCTTGCCTTCACCAAATTGTGAGATTACAGATGTGTGCTACTATGCCTGGCTCAAATACATCTTTTTTCTTTTTCTTTTTTTTTCTTTTTGTCAGTTGTGGGGCTTGAACTCTGGGCCTGGGCCCTGTCCCTCAGCTCTTCAGCTCAAGGCGCTCTACCACTTCAGCCACAGCACCACTTCTGTTTTCTGATGGTTTACTGGAGATGAGCGCCTCAAGGACTTTCCCGCCTGGGCTGGCTTTGAACTGTGATCCTCAGATCTCAGCCTCCTGAGTAGCTAGGATTACAGGTGTGAGCCATTGGCGCCTGGGTTTCTTTTTTCTTTCCTTTTCCTTCCCCTTCCTTCCCAGCCTGCCTGTCTGCCTTCCTCCACCCCCCCCCCCCCCCCTCTCACTCTCTCTCCTCTCTCCCTCCCTCATTCTTTCCTTCCCTCTTTCTTTTTTCCCTCCCTCCCTCCTTTCTTCCTTCCTTCCTTTCTTCCTTTCTTTCCCTGTTCTGTGGCTTGAACTCAGGGCTTGGCTGCTGCCCCTGAGCCTTTTCTTTTTCTTTCAATCCTGAGGCTTGAACTCAGGGCCTAGGCTCTGCTCCTGAACCTTTTTGTGCTCAAGGCTAGTGCTCTACCACTTGAGCCACAGCACCACTTCTGGCTTTTTCTGTTTATGTGGTAATGAGAAATTGAACCCAGGGCTTCATGCATGCTAGGCGAGCACTCTACCACTAAGTCACTTTCCCAGCCCTTCCTGAGCTTTTTCACTCAAGGCACCCGGTGCTCTACCACTTGAGCCACAGCTCCACTTGTGGTTTTCTGTGGTTGGTTGGAGATAAGAGTCTCACAGATGTTCCTGCCAAGGACGGGCTTTGTATCATGACCCTCAGATCCCAGCCTCCTGAGTTGCTGGGATTACAGATATGAGCCACCAGTGCCAGGTACAATCTGCCTTCTGTGGCTGGGTGTCAAGTCCCAGTACCTTACCTGGATAATAAACCCCTCCAGGAACTCCACCTGGAATAGCTCCAGGGACCCCTGCAAGGAAGGAAAGTAGAGTTAGCTATCAGAGCCTGTGAAGATCTCAGCCTGGTCAACCAAGCAATTTGT